AATAGGGAGTGAAGGGGGACCCTGATCTTCTTTGAATATTATGTCTTGGACAGTTCCCATTGAACCATTGACTAGCCCAGCGTCTGTCTGTAAGTTTGCCGTTAACATGACTCTTGCAACTCTCGCCAGCAATATATATGCTCCGAGACCATGCGCTGTATCAGAGTCAGCTTTTTTAGCTTCTTTTCCACCTGTATGTATAGCTTGGATTTTGGCAACAGGAGCATCCAAAGATCGAAGTCGATCTATATTTACCGCGTTGACTTAGGACCACTTTGTTAGAATGAACAAAGCGTCAGAGAATCTACTACGTTCTATTATACTGAGCTTGTCTTCAATTCGTGTGGTAAGAATTTTCCAATCATCTATAGTAGATTCTCCATTACGCAGTCTTAAGAGAATATTTCTAAAGTTTTGTTGCTCTTTAGAATTTCTGGATTGGCGCTGTGCAATTTCAAGCTTATACACTTCTTTGAACTGCTTGTATGCCACAATACCACTATTAGATAATGAACCTCGTTTTGTATCAGCATACATAGGAAGATCAAGGACAGGTGGAAGTTGGCCGAAGTCACCGAACAAAATAATCGACCTGCCACCAAATGGTTCGTTATTATGTTCAGGAAAAGCTTGTCGGAGCCGCTTATCAATTATAGCAAGCATTCGACGACCAACCATACTCTTCTTGTCAATTATTACGTAACTTACATCTTTTAATTTATCTTGTAGTTGCTTCAGCCGTTCTCCGCTTATATCAAAACAGTTTGCGTCATTAACTATCGGAATTGATAGCCCTGAATGAATCGTTATACCTTCAATGTTGAAGGCTGCAACTCCTGTCGGAGCGAGCACTGCTATAGGTGACTTAGGTCCTCCTGCCATTTCTCGAAGCCTGCATTGGATTGCTTCTATTAGATAGGTCTTACCAGTCCCAGCAGTTCCCATCACAATGATCCTTAAAGGTTCATCTTGACGTCCCTCAAGCGTATTGTGATAATGTGATTCTATTCGCTCGAAAACAATTTTTTGATTAACATTTAATGTTTGATAATCCATTAATACGTTTTCTTCTTCACCAATCTTAGGATTTCTACTTAAAAACGTATCAATATCCACGAGGTCCGTATATCGTTCCCTCGGATCGTTAATCCAGTCATGGTTCCGATCTATGTCTCGTGAACCTAGATCGAAAGAGCAATCGAAATTTGGTTTTGGGCCCATCTCAGCAAGAAACATCCAGTCAGGTCGATGTTCGTCTTGTTCATTATCATCTTCTTCAAATAGTTTTTCTTCATCGTTTATTTCGCTTTCTTCATCGTCTATAGATGACCCAAGTAGATCAATTGGATCAGCATTGATCTCTTCGATATAATCGTTGTACAAAGATGACCATGCAATAGTTCCGTCTTCGGTTAAATCTTGATCTCGGTGTCTAACGTGAAGAAGAACCTTCACTCGGCAAAACTCCTCCCATTGAGGACCCTCGCGTAAGGATGATGGATGTGGAAAGACACGCACAACATTTTCCTGTTGACACTCTTTCCATCGACCTTTAACCAACTTGTGTGTCAAGTAAAGCCGGAATAGTGTAAAATCTTCAAGTTCGGTAGGTCGATCCCAATATATTTTCAAAGGTGATTTCTCCGTTCGCCCCGAATCATTATTAACAGAATAAGATTCTTCACTTTCCCCAGTACCACAAATCCATCTTGGTGCTTCTTTGTTAAGATTCAAGAAGACAAATTGCTGACTTGAATGGTAAAGAGGAAGGCCGAGAAGAATATGGCAGGTTTCTTGGGCAGAGATGTCCTGTTCCGCAACACTATGTAATAAAAGCTTTTGGGCCGGAGCAAGTAACGTATCTTCTGGCTGACTTTCACTAAGGATTCGATTTAATACGTCCGAAAAGGCTGACGATCGCGGTTCTGCTTTGCTTGCATATTTTGCAACGTATTGCAGCGCAGCATGTATACTAAGGATTGGCTTTAAATCCACATTAGCCCTCCAACCCTGTAATTGAAGTCGACTATGTGAATTTATGTATTGATCGTTCCTTCTCGTTACAAGCTCCGGTTGTCCATTGTTATCATCTTGCACGAATGTTCTTTCAACAATTTCTTTAGGATATCTAAACCGGCAAATTTGTTGTCCTTCTCGGTTGATACGAAGACAGTACGCAGGACTACATCAGGTATGTCGTTGCAATTTATTAATCAAGTCGATGTAGTCTTGCTGGTCATCATTTAATTCATTGCTTTTCTTTTGGCACGGATGCCATTTAGGAACAGGCATATCGAGTCCTGGATTTATTGTGGTAACGAGACTGTCAAGATATTGTATAATTTCATTCATTTTGTTCTCATCTTCCTTCATATGCTTCCATTCTATTGTAGGTGCATTTTTTCTTTTTCCGATTCCATGCACGTGCCACTGGTAAAAAAATGGTCTATCCTACACATATCCTACATATATCTTACATATATCAGGTACTCAAAATGTAGAAAATCATACACAAATAATACACATATCATACACATATCGGGTATTTATATATATAGTATACCTATCAGGTACCTGATATATGTATGATATATATATTAGTACCCGATATGTGTATGATATGTGTATTATTTGTGTATGATTTTCTACATTTTGAGTACCCAATATGTGTAAGATATGTGTAGGATAAATCATTTTTTTACCAGTGGTGAACACTGCCGCGATGTTGCCATTCGAACCTAAACCACCAATCTTCCAAATCCTATTGTTTCTTTAAGACGTCATTAAAGAAAATTTCAAATCGCTTATGAAAAAACCAGTCCGCGATATGAGGATTATCCACGATATTTTGGTGATAGCGTTTGGCTGAAGTTTCACGATTACTGTTAGATGGCATAAGCTAATGGAGCTCAGGCCAATGCAAATCGGCGGCACTAAACGTAAAAAAGATTAAGCCATCCGGTCCTATCTGCTTAATCATATCATTTAATTCATTGCATCGAGCATACCAAAATTGATGAGATCCACGTAAACCTTCTCCAAATCGCATGATTCTATTGGCCATATAGTTATCGCCTTGGGTAATTCTTTCCTGAATATCTGTAACGGTAATTTGCGCATCGGTAAGATTTTGCTTAACGTACACCTTTCCTTCTTGTAGTGCCCGCCAACGCATTTGGGAATTCAATGTGAAATACCGCCAACGAGCATAACGCGCAAATCTTCCGTCCTTGTATTGAAGAAGGTACCTGAAATACTCGGCAGGCTTTATATCTCTAATACGTTCTGCGCGAAGGTCTGCACTTCCAGTCGGGTATAAGGTTAGGAATGCGCATGCTATATACCCTGACGTCTGGAATTCGTTAACAGGATTTCCATTTATTTGTGGCCACATTATGTGATGATTTTCATTTTGTATTCGATCGAGTGTGTTTCTAATAGCAGTATCTTAACGATTGGCTGAGAGTGGAAGTGGAACGAAGGTACGTGTAATAACGTCATCCTCACTTTCGTCGTAATCAATATCTTCATTAATATCTTGAAGTTGGTCATCAATTGTGCCATCAATTGGCAGAAACTGGAGAATTTCATGATCAATGATTACGTCAGCGTAGTAACGATTATTTTGTTTTAACCAGATTAACGCTTGAGTGACCTTATCACGACGAACTTTGAAATTCCTAAACGCTTCCGCATTGCTCGCAGATTGACGACGTATGACAAGCACATCTAATAACGATGGATGCCTAGGAAACTTTGAAGCAAATTCTTGGACATCTTAAGGAAAGTTGATTACGTTTCCTCGATATCCATGCTGACCTCCACGAAGTCTATAAACCGACATCACGGGAAATACTCGCGCAACCAACATTTCCTCAATTTCTGTGAGATCACGAAGTTCATCAGGTACTTCGCCTGGGTCCATATTGTTATCTTTCGAAAATTTTTTTGGCTGCTTCTCTTTATGGCAACGTCGGCATTCCCCCCTTATAATTACAATTGATGGAAAATTTTCATTGCACGTCGTGCAGAGCGAATGTTTAAATTTATTAACTTTGTTACGAAATTTCTTTAGAAGATCTCGCTCGAATTCACCAAGTACACCAGCATCGGTATGTGTGTCTGCACCATCTTCTGCGCCGTTATCTTCTGCGCCGTCATCTTCTGCGCCGTCACCTTCTGCGCCGTCCACGCCACTATCTTGATACTTTTGCTGCAGATTTTTTTGTTGTGAATTCAAGTCTTGGGCCATTGTATTTTGAATATTTTTCAGGTATTTTCTTCGTTCACGATAGTAACTAAGACGTTTTTCACGTTGTTCGTCCATTTCTGTTGCTAACTTTACGCATTTTCGTTCTTTGTCACGTGCGTCACGCACCTCTCACTCTTCAGCATTTGCATTTTCCCTTGCTCTTTTTTGCCGCGTAATTTCACGTTGCTTTGCAAGGCGTGTTTCACGTTGACTAGATGTTTCATTCTCTCTAGCTTTACGCTTTCGAAGTGTGTCTCGGCTTATGAATTTATTATCCATTATGCATGCTATAGAGAAACTCCATAGTGGCTTGTATTTTACTTTTGTTAATCGAACATCGCATATGATCATCACGCCAGATTACCGTATTTAGAATAAATATTAGTGATAAAAAACGGTTAATTATGCATTTATTCTTACGAATTTATTTTTACCAATTTTCAATTGTTAATAATTAATTACATGATAATAGTATGATATACTTATTTAAATTTTATTTTACAAATAATACTCAAATTTTATTAACGTATACATTCAATTATTACATTTGATATTTATGATTACTACATTTCTTATCTAACCTTAAATTCGAAATGTTGCAAAAGTAATTAACAAAATTTTCTCACTCCGGACCCCCAACGGTTTCCGTTTCCTAGTATAATATATAAATCTATCAAACCTACTCTTAAAAAAAAGCTTGCTTAATACCACAGTTTTATCTTAAATTATGATTTGGGTTTAGCATTAGTTATTTTGATGTAATTGAATTGTACCCGTCTTCAGGACTGTTTGGAACTGAAGATGCATCGTTAGTACTATTATCTGAATATTCTTCGAAAGATTGTTGTGGGATGGCATCTTGTTGATAATCAACAGGTTGTTGAACAATTTGTTGACAAATTAAATGTTGTACTTTATAATTATATGGAAGTCGATGATCGGGAATGTGGGATAAATCAATTCTATTATTTAAGAGTTGCGCGATTTCCGTTAAATTTAATTCGGTATAAGTAACATAGACATGTGCATCATTTGGTAAAGGAAGATAAAATTCAAATTTTATATTATCGGAGAATTGTTGTGAGATGGTGTCTTGTTTATAATCAACAGGAATAGGAAGAATTGAAGATACATCGTTAGTATTATCATCTGAATATTCTTGGAAATTACGTTGAATATCCATAGTATCGAAAGATTGTTGTGGGATAGTATCTTGTTGATAATCAACAGGTTGTTGAATAGGAAGAATTAAAGATACATCGCAAGCAGAATATTCTTGATAAATTGGTTGAACATCCATAGTATCGAAAGATTGTTGTGGAATGGTGATTTGTTGCCGAATTATATGTTGTACTGTACATTATAATGATATGGAAGTCGATGATTGGGAATATGAGATAAATCAATTCTATTATTCAAGAGTCGCGCGATTTCTGTTGAATTTAATTCAGTATAAATAACATGGTAAATACGCGTATCATTTGGTAAAGGAAGATAAAATTCAAATGTATTATTTTGAGACACAGGAGCAATATCATTAGAATTATTAATGAAGTTATTTCCAGTTTGACCTATTGATAAATTAGAATAATCCATGTTCTAATTGTTGAGTTTATACTGTATATTGTACTGGTGAAAATTTTAAATTTTTTTAAAAGAAAAAATCAAATGTATTTATATTTTTTTTTATACAGTATGCAATAGTACCTTGAGTTGTATAACATATTTTCTTTTTTTAAAGGGCGTTCATAAATAAATACAATATTATTTATATTGTATGCAGGTAATAAAATGATCGTCGATTTTTATAAATTTTTTATAAAAGGGGTTATATAAATAAACTAAAATTCATTTGTCAATAACTACAGTTCTGATTGGAAGAGATTCCAGGTCAGAAAAAAAAAAAAAAATTTTATAGTTGATACAATATAAATTTTTTATTAAAAGGGGTTATATAAATAAACTAAAATTCATTTGTCAATAACTACAGAAAAGAAGGCAGGGACCCTTCATATGGTAACTTTTTTTCAAGACCCACATCCCTATCGATTTACGATTATTCTTTAAGTGATATTATTGTTTCAGATTTAATTATCTGAATTTTTAGAGTCTTCATTGTACATAAAAACTGTTCAATTTTCCCCCAATTCTCCATTTTTCAATATGATTGATGTTGTACATTCTGTGAATCTTGACCAGCAACGTCCTCATTTCCCTCACGATCAATATTTTCCTAATAATACACCTGCTACTATCTCTACCACTACGCCTGTTCAAGCATCTTTTGGTTTCGATTTACCAGGTGAACTTACTCAATCAACTTCTTGCGTCAATAATTTTTTCGAAATACCAAATTGGACGTTCATTGCTGCAATGACATTTCAATTATCAGACCAGGATATAAATATTAATAACTCACCTCAATCGAACGTTACGACTTCCCAACAATAAAATTCGCGACAATATAACGATATGACAGCTACCGCTTTTTCTAATCAACATCAATATTCTCACGATTCCTCAGTTCAACAAACTTCTATTTTACCTTCCCCTCCTTTTGTTGAACCTTCAGGAAATTATATCGCGATTTCATCAGCTACTAATAGTACTCTATGGTTATCCTTCTTCAATTTTACCAACATCTAATACTCAATCTATTACATTAACTAATAATTTGGATACTGGTAATCATATTGGTAATAATTACTCAATCAATTCTCGTAACGCTTATACAACTCAACAACAACATCATCATCAACATCAACAACAACATCATCATCATCATCAACAACAACATCATCATCATCATCAACAACATCATCATCATCATCATCATCATCAACAACAACAACATCATCATCATCATCAACATCATTACAAATCAATTAATTTCAGGTTATAATTTTAATCCAAATCAAATGTTATCAAACTTCGATTCCTTCCTCTATTGGCAATAATTCACAACATCATGATAATCATCAAATATCAAGATCTATCAATAACTTTTCTCGTCAAGACGCTACAACAAATTTACCTATCAGTATAGCTCCAAATTTGTTTATGCAACATTTAGTAATCAATCAAGTAATGGTTCAACAATGTTAGTACCATTATATGATCCTTCTACAATTTTTACGGCCAAACCTACTCCTACTTCCACTCCTACTCCTACTCCTGTTTCAACAACAATTTCTATTTCACAAAATTCTAACACTACTTCTGAAAGTACTTCACCAATAAAACAGACATACAGTCAACTCTGGATATAACGAACCTTCCGTTCCAGGAGGTTTAGTTCGGTATATAGTGAATTCGTTATATAATATACCAAACTAGTTTTCTTTATAGGTAATTTAGGCCAAATTTGTAATGCTGGCCAAAATTATAATTTCTTTTAACACAAATTTTCGAAAAAATTACTAGTAATTCTGGCCAGCACTATAAAATTGGCCTGGACTACTATATAGTCACATGACCGTTCGTTATAGAAAATATAAAGTTATTATATAGCTGATATATAGGGGCTGGTTAAGTTTGGTTCGGATGCGTTATATAGTGTTTTATTATAAAAGTTCGTTATATCCAGTGAAATTATTTATAAAAAATCGGTTCTGGAAATTATGATTCGGTATAGCGAGGTTTCGGTACAAACAAGTTCGTTATAACCAGAGTCGACTGTACTCATATAGTGGACCTCCAAAGAGTTGTTATTCAAGATTACCCTTATATGACAGACCTTTCAAATGTGATCAGTGCCCTCAAATCATTTTTATTTTATTTTTTATCTTTGCTAATTAAGAGACTTACCGAAAATTTTTTTTTATATTAGGTTTCAACAGGAACCACGACCTCAAGCGGCACAAAAGGATCCATTTGGTCGTGAAATCTTATCCTTGCCAATATTGTGAAAAACAATTCAGTCGAATGGACGCGCTTAAAAGGCACGTCCTTGTTCATAAAAAAACAAAGATATACATATTAGTACGATAGGCGTTTTTTGGTTGAACGAAAAATGGAAAGGTTGATCAACATTATGAAAATTTTCCATCTGGTTTTGGCTAGACTAGAATACTCCGTAGTTAATTATTTTGGATTTGATTATATTACTAAAATCAAGATATAAATGACGTACTACATGATCTGTTCACGACCCATTGTCCCACTATACTTTGTGTACATTGGTTGTCAATATTTCTTGCTATAATTAGCGATTCAAATTGAACAAAATTTTTTATATTTTATAGAATGAATGTATAATATATAAATAATTTGGCGTGATTTGAATTACCTGTTGTTGAGATATTCTACTTAATTAATTTTTGGACTAATTAAAATTCTTTAACAATTTTTTTAAAATTTGAAAAATATGTATACACTATAAAATTTTAGCACTTTATAATAATTTATAATTATTTTTTTAATATTATAATTGTTGGCTCTTAACTTTATTCGTAACATTACTCGTAACACACTATATATTAATTAAGTTACATAACCCAAAAGTAATTTTACAACCCTATATGTTAAAAAGTAAAATTTTTACGACACTAGGACTTACTCATATCTGATTGTTCGGATTTTGATCGCAAAATCCGTTAACCAGTCCAAAAATGTAATCAACATAATTACAAATAACACCTTCATTTTTTCTTATTTATAAATTGCGATCAAAAATTCTACTTTTTTGTGGATCCGTAACTGATCAAGTTCGTCACCCAATAATCAATGTACAGGCCTACCATTAATAATTTTTTTCTTCACTAATTTACATAGCTTTCAAAATTGCACAAGATAATCAAGAAGGAAGATGAATTGATGAGTTGAATAATCAATAAGTAATTTTATTGAATGTATAATATGACGGTCTCTTTAACCGACTGCGTAAATTATAGTTATTTTACAGTTTTATATTCTTATTGAATATCTACCGTAATAAAAGCAACTGTTAAAATCACATTGAGAATTAAATCGATTCAGCTAAAATCGAAAATTGATTTTAATGCAAATAAGTTAGATGGCCAGTTTCGTTTAATGTAGTCAATAACGATTTGCATGTACACCCTTCATTCTTTAAGCATTCGGGAAATCCATGATCTCAATCAAATGACGATCCTTTCTTATTTTTTTTTTTTTTTTTTTTTTTTTTTTTATAAACGTATTTTATTCATTTTATTAGTAAATTAAAACGCATTCTATTGACTAGTAAATACAAAAAAAATACATTGAAGCTAGTTATTTCTAACTACACCTCTCCATATAAAAACTTTAGAATAATTTCTAAAGTGTAAACTATCGTAACCAGCGTGCTATTCACGATATATTCTCATAAACTAAGTATTTACTAAATTACTAATTACTTGACTAGCTATTTTAAATCTATTATGATCTCCTAATCTAAATACGTCATTTTTTGTTTGTTCTTCTAAGTCTATTTTTACTAATTTTTTAATTTTTTTACTGTTTTTAGTATTTTCTGATTTCTCCAAATCTAGTAGTTTTCCATCGTCATTACTTTTGTTCCTTTTTCGTTTAGTATCTTTGAAAACACCCATTTGTTTCTCCAATTCAATTGTCTCATTGCAGCGCTCTATCCAAATCTGTTTATGAACCTCACTTAAATACTCGTTAAGAATCAATAAAACGAGTTTTCGTTCTTTATTTTTTTTATAAGTAGTTAACCATTTCTCATTGATTAAACCTCTTGTTACTTCTCTAATTATACCTTCAGTTGTCATTATAAAAGAGCGACTTGAAGCTATACTTAACAATGTGTTTGTAAATTCTTTACATGGTATATCTTTGTCCAACATGTCTTGATTATCCAATAAAATTTGATTAATACTATTATTAAAAATGTTCATTTCTGTCATAGCATTATTTGAAACACATGTCCAAATATGTTCCCATGTCTCATCTTCTATCGAGCATCGGGGGCATTTACTATTGGTTATTCCGCATACTCCTCTTTTGATCCTTTCTTATTTATTTATAATAATAATAAAATATTAATATATATCCCGAGTTACACTATAATAAACTAATTCTAACAAGATATAAAAGGTAATTTCTTAAATTCTAAACTAACAATGTAATTTCTCTTTCCCTTCATTATTATTTCTAAAAAATCATTAATTAAAATAAATTAATGAGGCACTTTTTCATTATAAGAAAAAGGCAAAAAGAATCAAATAAGAAAATTACAGTATATGTGGAATTACATGGGTGTGTTTTTGATAATTTCTAACTGAAAGGAATTCGCTCTCAATTTATAATATTTCCTTATGCCTTCGAGGACTTAATCTAGATAACCCATTATAAGAACCAATAAAATATCATTGCCCAAAATTATAACCAAATTAAAATAACATACATAAAATAAAATAATACACAAGATATTTACATAAGAATAGTTTTACGTCGATTACAGACGTTACCTCCAATAACAAAATAATTCCCAAAAATATATTTCTCATCGAACATGTTTGTCATTCCGGATCGCAGTAAATAAAAATACTTTAAAATTTTATACACTTTTAATAAATTCACTAGATAATTTTGGCATTACACCGTGTACCGTTGTTCATGCGTATACCGAATTAAATTCAACAAAATTCGCACAATTCCTGAATACATTCCTAAACCTGTTAACTATCAACAAAATATCATTCAATAACAATCGGTAATATGAATATTCAATCTACGCTTTCAAAGAATATTCAGATAATAACAGGCTCAATTATTACAATTTCTCTAAACAGTGCTATCCCTGAAGATTCGGATACTCAGGATAAATTACAAGTAAAATGCGGCAAGCTAATGATACTATTACATTTGATGTTGTTATGCTTCATTTAATTTACGATCCAAAACTTTTATTTTTTAAAGGGTGATTTTTGGATGGATAATTACATTATAATTTTACATTATTTTATTAGCATACATTTTAAAATTTTTTTTTAATTTTTAATTAAGATGATTTTAACAGTGAAATTCATCAAATATTTTCATTTTTTTTTATATGTAATAGTTATTAATATCAAGTATTAAACTTTTGATTACATTTTATTAAACATGATTTTATTAATGTTACTGTTTTTTGAAATTGAAATTAATATAATTTTGTTATGTTAAATAATAAAAAACTTAATCACTAAATATTTAGGAGGAAAACATCAGAAAAATCTTGAAGAACTCAAGAGATCATTAGATGACGTCATTCGAAGTGGAACAATAAATAATTATTTTCATAGTATTTGCTTAAACAACTTTTTCTAAATACTGCAAGCAAATTTTCCAACATTCGTGCTAATACATTGCGTAGATATTGAAGATGAGTTTCAAGATAAAGTATTTTCATCAATCATGTTTATTAGACTTTATAGTTTGTTGGATCGTTAGAATTTGACTCATAACCTGCTTATACTGAACTTGATGTAACTGTTGCTACCGAATTTGTGTAGATTGGGAGGTAGTAACGGAAAATAAATAATGGATTTATAACGTTCGGTAAGGAATTGGCAACAAATATATATATAATAAAAAAAACAAACAAAGTATTCAGGATATCGGAAAACAATCGGTAGGGTTTTATTAACAATCTTTGGGATTCTAACAATATTATTACTGCCTCCCTCGGCGCTCTGTAATATTCGGAAGATCCTTCTTTTACAAATGTCAATGCTAAATTACTCGGAAAATAGACAAAAATCCTGCTATCCTTTATATACTTTCCAGAATTCAGCATAATTTGTCCAAAGACCAACTTGTCCTTTGGCCAATTTGTCCGAAATACGAATTGTCTTCCGGCCAAGTTGTAGATCGGCCAAATTGTCACATTTCGTCCCACTTTATTACCCAAACTAAATACCAAAAATAAATAAACTATATCCCTATAAAAACGAAATGAGTTAAATTTGTTTAATATTGTGCTCATGTGTAATAAAATATCTAAAAAAGCACCATTTTGTTTAATTTTTTTTGTAATAAGACATAAATCGGACAAAATGGTGTTTTTTGGACGTTTTTTACACATGAACACAAATTTAACACATTTCATTTTTATAGGGTATATGTATGTCAATTACCCAATATAAACATAAATAATAAAACTATTCATTTAATCAATAAACTATCTACAATATATACATTTAAAAAAATTAAATATATAAAATCTATAAATGCGTGTGACATCGTAACATAACTTATATATATTATATAAGAATACTAAATCTCTATTTTAAAAATTTTCTAGGTTTGAATTATTTCATGTTGTGTCATCGTCGAAGGGTATTGTGTTTTTTTTATATTACTAATCCCGAAAAATTGGCCCACATTACAGTAAACTATATTCGGGACAAGGTAAATTTTTGAACCCGACATCCGGTCCGGTATGTCGGATGCCGGATTATCACGTGAATCAAGATTTTTTTTTTAAAAAAAATTCAAATTCATGGCAAAAAAAATCATTATCAGATTAACACTTGAATAATTGAAAAAGACTTGATGGAGCATCCAAACCAACTGCTGAAATTCCAATTTCAATTCGTTTGTTACAACCACAATAGATTACATCGGAAAAAGCATCGTAAATTTGAGCTATCGTGACTTCATGTAACTTTGGGAGAATAAATCCTTAATTTATATTACGAGATCTCAATTTGTTATTTTTCTCGATTGTTTATAAATATATTTTCTTCAACAAATAAAGTAAATTTAGAGGATTAAAGTAATAAAGTGAATTAAGTCGTTTAAAACTTTCTACACTATAAAAATGATGTATATTATGAATCATTTATTAAATTAACCCTCATATGACGATTTACGTCAGATACTATAAGTAAACATTCTTTTATTTTTATTGGCTCATGGTATTTTCTTATAATTAACAACTGTAAAGAGATATTCCACCTCCCGTTCCAATCTTATTGCTTGAAATAAATGTGTTTAAAATCAGAAATATCCTTAAAATTCAACCCTACTTTTATAGGATTTACAGTATATAGATATCCTGTATAAATTGACCATGAATTCCATTATTAGAAGTTTTTAATATATATTATCGAAATAAAGTGACCTAAAAGGATTTATATATTCAATCTTAATAAAATCTTGTTTAATTTTAATAATTTCTTGTGATTTTACCTATCATCATTTGCATAATAAAAGGAAATTTAATGTAATTCTTGTAATTCTCCACTTTATTGAATACATTAAATCTAAAGTAACTTAGATATGGAATTTAAAGAAGAAAGCACTTATTTTTGTAAAAAAGAAATAATAATAATAATCCAGAAATATGACGAGAACCACATTTACGGTATATATCCACCGAAAATTCTTTTAATCTAAACTTACATAATTATGTTAAGCTTATAAGTTTCCATCATACCCAATTATTCCCTATGCCCTTAAAGTTAATTTAAATATCAAAAATCAAAAATGAAAATTAAAGGTAATAAATAGATGTTTCGTTTAATTTCATAAATTATTCTTAAAAAATGGTGTAGTCTGGTATGTTTGAATGAAAAAAAAAATACCAGATTACCGGATAATATTGGAAATGTGATAAAAATAGAGGACTGATAAGCATGGCGGACATGCTTATATCACCTTGCCGATCATTTGCCGATCACATAATTCCAGATTTTAAAATTTATTGCAAAAGCCACAAAATTTTCAAAATAATGTGGCAAAAAATTATGGAAATCTAAGCTAAGCATTGAATCATCATATAATTTTAATTATATAATTGTTAGCATAATTTTTTAATATTTTTATAACACATTATTCATATATGATAATTCATAAGTTTTTACCGATCATCAGACAAAATTTGATGGGCGGAGATGAATATGCATGGGCGAAACTCAAAACTTTGCACAAATATTCCTTATATTATGTAGAATCTATAAAAAAAATAATGCAGTGATCTGATTCATAATGCAGGTTTTTTATTAGTAATATATTTAGTGAATAATTTCGTAAAATGAATAAATATATGCCAAATAATAATAAAAGCTAAAAAGTTTCTAATGAAATATTATTTGTGTAATTTGAGCATATATTATTATGTAAATTTTTTTAGCAACGGTATTTATATTATGTGATATAATTGAATAAATGATCGGCAAATGATCAACAAATAATCATCAGTATTGTGATAAAATAGGGATGTCCGCTATGCTGGACTGATATAATAATAATAATAACATAATTATAATATCAAATATGCAATTCTATCAAACTCATTCTTAAAAAACTAAGAAGCTTATTTAAGTTAAACATAAAAATATTTGAAATTATATTAATTAATTTATAAATTATAACATAAGTATTATTATATTTCTTACAGCATATAATGACATACTTAATACTACAGTTTTATCTTAAATTATAATTTGGGTTTAGCCTTAATTATTTTGATGTAATTGAACTCCATTGTATCCATCTTCAGAACTGTTTGGAGGAACCGAAGATGCATCGTTAGCATTATTATTTAAATATTCTTGGAAAGTGGGTTGAATATCCATAGTATCGAAAGATTGTTGTGGAATGACGTCTTGTTGATAATCAACAGGTTGTTGAATAAGAGGAATTGAGGATACATCGTAAGCATTATTATCTGAATATTCTTGGAAATTAGGTTGAATATCGAAAGATTGTTGTGGGATGTAGTTTTGTTGATAACCGGCAGATTGTTGAACAATTTCTTGCCGAATTGAATGTTGTACATTATGATGATATGGAAACCGATGATCAGGAACGTGAGATAAATCAATTCTATTATTTAAGAGTTGCGCGACTTCTGTTAAATTTAATTCGGTATAAGTAACATGATAAATACGCGTATTATTTGGTAAAGGAAAATAAAATTCATATGTAATATTTTGAGGCGCAGGAGCAATCGTATTAGTATTATTAATGAAGCTATTTCCAGTTTGATCCATTGGTAAATTAGAATAATCCATGTTTTTAATAATTTTTAAATTGTTGGTTTATATTTTATATTGTATCGATGAAAAATTTGAAATTTTTTTTAAAATAATAACCATGTATTTATATGTTTTGGTTTTTCTTCTCCTTTAGTTTGAGTTAGTACCCGGTCCCAAGTAAAATTACCATATTACCACACAAGTTTCACTGCAGACTGCAGTGACAACGTATACAAGAAAAAACAATCAAAAAAAAAAAAAAAAAAAAAAAAAAAAAAAAAATAGCTCATTCAAAAATTCACATGATCGTGGAGTCAGTCACACATGTTGTGTCATTCTGTTTCTTTTGAACTGAGGTTGTTACACTGTAGATCGCGTCTAACTCTAGTTCAATGATTAGTTATTGATATAATTCGGATAGAATCATCGTGTTGAAGAATTTATGCAGGATTTTCTTATTGAATATCTATCATATTGAGAACTGGAATCGATTCAGCTAATATCGAAAATTGATTTTAATGCAAACGATTTTAAGTTTCAAGATGCAACATTTGACGTTTTTAGTGTGGTCAGTTTCGTTGAATGTAGTCAACGATTTACACGGACATTATGTTTAATATTTAATTTGGCTAGGTCACCCCTTCATTCTTTAAGCATCAGGAGATTAAATCCACCTTTCATACCACATCAATTTAGTATCTCAAATGATGATCATGAACTGGCGCTGAACGGTAAAATATTATTCGTTCACCGAAATAACTATATAAGTAAAATTTACAAAAAAAAATTAAAAAAGGTTTTTTAAAAAAACACAATACAAACACAATTTACAAAAAAAAAGGTCATACACAAACAAACACAAAAAAAAGTCAAACACAATACAAACACAGTTTACAAAAAAAAACATCATATAAAAATATATTCAATTGAAATATTGAATTATAAAATATAATTAATCTTATATGATTTAAAAAAAAAAAAAAAAAGTATCTAATTTATATATTAATAATACTATTATTCCTGCGCTTCAGAATAATAAGAATAATAACTATCTTTCTATACCAAATTATACACGTATCTACCATGTACAGTACGTATACCGACAGAAATCGCACAATTCCTGAATAATAATATCCATTCCTAAACCTGTTATCTATCAATAAAATACCATTCAAACAACAATTTTCAACTTACTTTCCAAGAATATTCAGATAATACTGCTTACGATACAGGATCAATTATTATAATTTCTCCAAACGGTACTATCCCTGAAGATTCAAATACTTCAGGATAAATTACATCAAATAATCAGAAACAATCAAAGTAAAATGTGGTATGCTAATGAAATGATATTGCACTATATGCATATGATATTGGTAATGATTCGATTCTTATATGCTTCATTTAATTTTCGATCCAAAATCTTTTAGTTTTTTAAAGAGTGATTTTGAATGGATAATTATATTATAATTATTACATTATTTTATTATTGTCACTATTTTTTTTATAAAAGTATTCACTTGTCCTTTTTTAAACTCTATTTTTATTTAAGAAATTATTATAGTAAGAATAAATTATATTTTAACAAGAATAAATGATGTTCAAGGATATGGAATATAGCCATAATTATAATATGTATGGTATTCTGTCCTCTGAACAATTTTTTTGAATGACGCGATGCGGTGTCAATTTGTCATGTAAACATCACTCTCTCCTAACTCTTATCCCACGCAATTCATATCTTATATCATCTGCGGTGATTTGAATAAATTTCTTGTTAATATTAACTCTAAAATATTTATTCATAATTCTATAAAGTTTATAAATTTTTCTCTTACCAAATATTTTCTTTTCTCTTTATGGAATCCTCTTTTTTTTTGCTACAGTAGTATATTAAAAGATATAAAGAAATTATTTAATCTTTGTTATTTATCTCTTAGATCCTTGTCGGACACTTTCCCAAATGGCATTTTCCCAAATATTTCCTGAAGTCAATTTCCTGAATGACCATTTCCCGAACTGGATAATTCCCGAAACTTCAATACCTATTTTCCGAATTCCAATCTCCTGAATCAAATGAACCATCCGATTTCCTGAATTCTTTTATGCCGGATCCTTTTATAAAATGGAACATTATTCCTAATCAAGAAAATAAAAAAATCGCAAGTTCGGATTCTTCTGACGCGAATTCTTCAAAATGAAAGCAAATAATTTCAGCAATAAGTAATTCTGCAATAGAATTAATTTGCAAAACATTAATTTCTTCAAGCGGAAATTCAGAAAAATGTCCATTTGGGATATTTGAATTCGGAATTTGGAAAGTGGACTTCAAGAAATAAGATTCAGGTATATTCAGGAAAATCCCATTAGGGTAACCCTTTTAGATTACTAGTATAGATTATTCCAACCAGCAACATAATGGTAAAATATATCATACCTAATTTTGATTATTAAAACGATAAAATCTACACCATAATATATCGGTATGGTTTTCCCCATATATATAGATTATTTGAACTTTTTACGCTTTCAGTTAGGTTATTTTTTTGGTTACGGTATGCTCTTGGATGTATATATATATACAATAATAAATTTACAGGTACGCCTAATAAAATATATGCCTATAATATTTTTTTTAATTTTAAAACTTACCATTAAAAGTTAAAGGAAATTTTTAAATAAAATTAGTATTCATTTTGTCTATAATACAACTGTAATGTGATTAATCATACCTAAAGGTTATTCATGTGATATTGTAATTCCTATGGATATTTCGGTACAATTGGCATCGTACTCATCGTACCATCGTACCCATCGTACCATCGTACTCGTACATAATTAATAATACCACTTATTATATCATATCGTACCATACTACTTTACTAGCATAACTGTCGCGAATTTTTACCTACTTTTTTGTTTTTTGACATCAGGCATTAACGTTAAATTATAACGAAAAAAAAATTATATATGACTCTAGGAAAAATGAAATATTACCTTTTGAATTTCTAATTAATTTTTTTTTACCAAATTCCCACAAATTTTTGTTATATAAACGTGTAGGTAATTCACTTCTTTTCTTGTTAAACATTTTTTTCTTTTTATCAAATAATCATACTTTCATAATACTTACACAAGAAGGAAAATGAATAGTTTAATCAGGAAAGAAAAATTAATTACGAACTTATTTAAAGGGGTTCAAAGGGTTCACGCGTTCAAAATATGCATAGTTAGTTAGTCGCATAGTTTTTCTGGTAAAATAAGTTCGTAATTAATTTTTAAAACACGAATAACGGAACAACGCAAAGTACGCGTAGACATAATGAACATGAATTATGAATATAATTATACTTCATATCACCGATCAGATGGTCACGCAGAAATTTTTTCGTGAATGTTACACAAGCGTCTGGCCCGAGTTTAGGAGTTATGAACTTTCACGTGATAGCGTTAACGTCACTGTTAAAACGTGATATTAAAAAAAAATTTTAATTAATTTTTTGTTAATTTACCATGATATAAGTCATATAACTTTATAAATTTATTACCATTATCCAATGATTGTGTACATTTTCTGATCTTTATTTAAAAAAGGGGAAAACTCTATAAGCTAAAATTTATGTTACGAACTATTGTATGAAAGAAACTAAATTGTTTTCTTCTCTGTAACTTTTTTTTTTATTTAGAAACTGATAACTTATGCTTCAGTATATACGTTAGACGCTCAAACACATCAAATAGAGAATATCATTTATTATGCAAAAATATAGATGCATAAACGCCTAATAAGTACATCTCATAACGGGATTTTTCTAAATGATGCATAACGCTTAAAAGTAATAATTGGCTTTCTAAATACCTCACACTTAATAAACGACAACTGTATTGGAAATTCGGATATTCACTTACATAAGTTGAAAAGAATATTAGTGATTTACAATAAGCAGATTAATTAATTACTAATACATGAATGATTGATGATTTCGGCAGTCAATATACCATAACGATAAAAGAAGTGTACAGGTAATCACGATTAAAATGGAGAGAAAGAAGATGATGATAATGCGGATTTTTTGTTCATGTTTATGAACATAAATGTTCAAGTTTATGAACATTCTTTTTCATAAATGTTAATATTTATGAATATTCTTCTTTCACAAATGTTCATATCTTCTTTCCATAAATGTTCATATTTATGAACATTATTTTTTCATGAAACGTTCCATTTCTCCCGAATCTATCCGAGATTGTTTAATAGCAGTAATGATCTGAATACTTGGATTCCCGTAGATTTAAATTTTAAACATGTGGAAATGAGAATAAATGGAAATGATAAGACATATGTGACATTAATTTATAAGAAAGAAGAAATTTTGTGGAATTTATTAATAATATTGACAGGATTTAACCAGTAATGCTAAGATCAATTGAATGTACATTTAAAATGGCATGATTTTTTTAAATACAATTAATCACTCGATATTAACATGAGATCATCGAACTTTGACCATAGGATGCGTGGTGGTTATACAGAAGATTTTCTGTTTAACATCAATACCAGTTTTTTTTTTTTAAAGTTTAAAGTTATTTTTTAAGGAGAGGATCTGGAAACAACAATAAATTAAATAAATTATTAATATAGATATATTTATAACTTATAAGGAGAGGGAGGAGGAAATCCACTTTATTAAAATATTGAGAGACATTTTTTTTTTAATTATTAATTATAAATAGTGAAATTTTTCTATCCATATTAAGTAAATAATTTTAGAAATGTAACACTAACAGATTATGTATGGCATGGTCATCATAATTCATAACGGCCGAATATCGGCGTAGTAATAAATATTTACCATTGAACTGTTGTCGGGAGGCCAAAGCTAATTAGGATAAACATCGGGATTTTCCAAATTAAAATTTTTTCGAACTGTCAACCCCGAATTACACGTTTTTTGTATATCAAACTTAAATAAAATTCCGAGAGACTAAAAAATCTGAAACAATTAAATTTTTAGAAAGTAAGGAAAATTATTGTTATTACAAAAAAATTGTGGAATTATTTATTATTATTTTATTTTTTTTTATTTTTTTATTTTTTTTTATTTTGTTGTGGAGGAATAAATATTTTGATGTGGAGTATTGGGGTACAGGGCAAAGAAAGAATTTACAACATCATTGTAATTCTCTTTCGTACTAATAGTAATAATATGTCGTGTAATTCAATTAATAATAATTATGCATTTTACCATAATAGAGAATAAAAGTCCATTTGGGAATTCATATGCGTGGAGCATTTGATATGATGTAATTTGTGATTGATTTATTGAAATGTGATCAAATAAATAAAAATCAAAATAAATAAATTATTAATGTGTATATAATTAATATATATAATATATAATATATACGTATAGTAGTAGTATATGTATATGTATTACATATATTATATTAATAACTATATAGATATTAATAAAAAGACCATAAAAAGTTCAATATGTAGGTAATGTGGTTCATATGTAACAGTAACAGTTGTACAAAAAAAAAAAAAAATCAAAAAAAGATATATTGTTTTTTTAAGATTAAAGTTTTTTAGAAAAGAGATGAGATGGTCAAAATAAAAAAGATTATTATTTCTTCTATTTTCGTTATAGATTGTATAATCGGTTTAAAGAATTTCTTTTTTTTTCATAAGTGAATGCATGATATAATACAAGTCACTAAAAAGAGTTTATTGAAAATGAATGATGATGAAAAGTTCCATTGTCTTTTACTTTCTAATTTAGTCCTTATTAAAAAAAAAATCGACTAAATTTTTTTAATGTACTGCTTATTTTTTATATTATGATCAACGTTCTAACGTTGGCGGGAAATTTGGATCAACCTCAATAAAACCCGCCAAAATATAAACATTTAAGTGTTGATATTTTTACTATTTCCATATTAAGAGATCAACGATTATAATAATAGTAAATGATCTTCAGAAGTCTATCATAGAAAAAGAAGGTGATTTTAATATGTTTATGTTACATTTTCACGGTCTTTTTTATTCCCTTAAAAAAAAAGATAAAATAAAAAATTACCTGTTTTATTAACAATTATTTTTTGTTTGATGAAAATGTTTATAAGAAGAAAATTTTCAAACATTAAGGAGATAAAGAGAATAAAGACACATTTTACATTAACGCCACGAATAATTACTCTTTACAATCACTTATAAAGTAAATAAACCAAAAATCATTACCTAATTTTCTTAATGATTTTCGATAAATTCGGAATGAATGCAAATATGGAATTTACTAAGCCTTCTTTGATATTAGATATCAGGCTAAGCAGGAGTCTTAACTTACCCTTGTCTCCGCTTTTTTTTTATTACTTTTTCATCTTATGTTTCAGTTACAGAACTTGCAGAAATATTAAATATTGGATTTTTTTTTCGAATATTCTATTATCTCCTCATCTTAAATCTTTTTAATCATCTTAAATCTTAATTCCTCCAATAATTTTAAAATATTTGAAAGTTTTCTTTTTTTGAAAATGAAATATTAGCCTTACATTACTTTTACATTACTTCTACATTTTACTGTAATAAAATAAAAACATTAATGAATATCATTTCCCTTATTGTGTCTTCAAGAGTATCACTGTATATTATTATTTTAATTTAAAATTTTATATTATGTTTTTGGCAAGTATACCAGATCGCATGAGTTGCACGTTTTGAAACATCTTTACATTTGTGTGACTTCCTTTTTCATTTGTTTTTTTCCTATATATATATACTGTCCCGTTTTTTTTAATTATATTTCATCCCCATTTGTTTCTCTTTTTTTTTTATACTTTTTTAAAAAAAAAAAAAAAAAAAAAAA